TTCTCTTTCTCTGCATTATCTATGTCTTTTCTTGCTAATGTGTCTCATATCCAAGAACCATCTTCTTATAAACAAGCATGCATTCACGAGGAATGGTTTGATGCTATGAACAAGGAACTCACAGCTTTGGACAATAATCATACTTGGGGAACTCACAAGCTTACCTGAAGGAAAGAAAGCTATTAGTTCAAAATGGGTATACAAGGTTAAGCTCAATTGTGATGGCAATATTGATAGATTTAAGGCTCGGCTCGTGGCCAAAGGATACAACCAGATAGCAGGCATTGACTATTTTGAAAGTTTTTCACCCGTTGCTAAGACTGTTACGATAAGGATGTTCTTAGCAATTGCAGCATCAAAATCATGGCATGTCCACCAACTGGATATTAATAATGCCTTCCTCCATGGTTTTTTTGGATGAGGAAGTCTATATGTACCCTCCAGAAGGGTATTCTAAAGCTAAATCAGGCCAGATTTGCAAGTTGAAATGCTCTCTTTATGGTCTCAAGCAAGCCTCGAGACAATGGAATTATGAATTTACTACACATTTGCAGACCTTTGGATTTAAACAATCTGCTCATGATAATTGCTTATTTGTCAAACAGTTCACAGCTGGTTTCTTTGCCCTGATTGTCTATGTGGATGATGTGCTTATTACCGGCACACATGAGGATGATATCATTGCAGCCAAACAATTCTTAGATTCTCAGTTTACAATCAAAGATCTTGGATATGTGAAATACTTTCTTGGTTTGGAAATAGCAAGGTCAATTACTGGCACTTATATTCATCAAAGGAATTTGTTATGGATATTATTGATGACACTGGACTTTCAGATGCAAAGGCTACTCTTACTCCTCTACCTATGGGTTATAAATTCTCAATCACAATGGGAGAACCATTTCCTCAGCCTTGATAGATATCGAAGACTCATTGGGAGGTTACTTTATCTTGGATTTACAAGACCAGACATCACTTATGCAACTTAACAGCTTAGTCAGATTGTTCACACACCATGTCAATCTCATTGGGATGCTGCTATTCATGTACTTCGTTATTTAAAAGGGTTGTCCTGCAAAAGGATTGTTCTTTCCTGAAGATAATCTATTTCAGTTAACAGCATACTGTGATGCCGACTGGGCATTCTGCGTTGATACTCGCAGATCACTTACTGGGTATTGCATCTTCTTGGGGTCTGCTTTGATCTCTTGGAAGACCAAGAAGCAACATACTGTATCCCGTCCTCTACCGAAGCTGAGTATCGTAGCATGGGATCTACTGTCTGTGAATTACAATGGATTTCCTACTTGTTACAGGATTTTTGTCTTTCGCCCTTACTACCTATTCCATTACTGTGTGACAATCAGGCATCCCTGCATATTACAGCAAATCTCGTCTTCCATGAAAGGACAAAACACTTGGAAATTGACTGTCACATAGTGAGGGACAAATTCAAGCAAGGATTCATTCATCCTCAATACATTTCCACTAAGCAGCAGCTTGCGGACATCTTGACTAAGGCTCTTCCTGCTCCTGTATTTGGTACTTTCCTGTCCAAGTTGGGCTTATGCGATTCTCATCAAGCTCCAACTTGAGGGGGGATGAAGAAATAATATTCCTATTCCTCTTATTTTAGGTGATGTTAGTTGATTGTTATTAAACTGTTACAACAAATTGGTTGTTCACTCCAGCCGTAATTAGCTGGGAGTTAGTTCCATTTGTGTATAAGTATACTTTCTTTTCATTCAATAAAATTGAGAAGTTATTTTTTCCTCCTAAATCATTTCATCCGTATCATACATTTCTCTTGTATTCAGCAGAATTATGGCTTGATTTCTTCAAGTTGTCCCATTATAATTTTTTGGGATTCCGACACATTTAATTGGGTCTAAAGAGGTTTCTGTTCATAACTGACATGATCTGGTTGACCAGATGTATCTTGTCAAAAGGACGGGTGGGTCAACTAGAATGACTTGCGGTAGTTGCTAAACATGAATGTGTTGTCATCAACCTGCTTTTGCACTCAAGGCAACGTTGAAAATGTACAGCTCCCATAATGTAACAGGGTGTTTTTTACAAGATCCATTAATATATTATTGTCATGTAGCCAATTGGCAACTACTAGCAAATCCGGCTTCATGCATGTGAGTTTCAGCCTGCAATCCAAGCTGATGATGTGTTTTTTGGATTACCTCACCCTTGAAGGATCATAACCATTTGTCTCGGGTATTCTTAGTGAAAAGCGAAAGGTTAGGATCTATAATAGTCTTTGGGAACCAGGGCACATTATTCATCATTTTTAGAAGATTTTACTCTGCTGCACAAGCTCGATGCACCAAAAATGAGCGATTTTCTTGTCTAAATAATGTGAAAAAAAAAAAAAAAAANTCAGGCAGAATTTATTGATCAGGATGGACACTCAATGTTCTTGATTCCTGTGCGAAAATATCATCTGTTAAAAGAGTTGTTCATGATGAGGCTTTAACATACAAAATATATTTTAGATATAGGTACTGAGAATTCTTCAATTTATTGTTTTGCAACAAGTGGTAAAATGAGTAGAAAATTAATACCAGCGAACTAGTGAGAAATATCGGAGCAGGTAATCATGTTTTTTGCGATAGAAAAACGTGTAACATCTTTGTATATAGAGCAACTCTGGTTGGAGTCTTCGGCTGATGACACTTGACTGCTGATGTCTGCATGTGAAGAGATAGCTGCTCTATATCTGTTTCGCTTGGTTTTCTATAGACTATATAATCTAGCGTTTGATTGAATCTCTAATTAATTTTCCAAGACGAGGAGGAGTTTCATAGTTGGACTATAACCAGATAGGCTCCCAAAGAACCACGATTGTTGTTATAAATAAATGTAGACTTGTTTCTCGAACCATATATCATGGATCTAGAAATCTTTTAATTTAAAAACTTAGTCTCAGAAATTTAGCCTCGTGTTTCCATGTAAACAAGATGGTGGTGGATATTCATGAACTTAGAAAGTTCACCGCGACTTATTTTTTCTTACTAATTAAGGTAAAAATTTATATAGCAATTTTTGACTGATCCTTAAAATTAGAATGTAGTGGGGGCCAATTTCTTGATGTTAGTATTTGTTAACTTCCCACTTTGCAAAACTTGTTAGAGAAGATAATTCTGAGGACTAAAATGCACTGGGCAAGAAGAGAAGGGCTAAAGAAGCAATAAGTAAAAACGGGAAGAGAAAAACGTGATACCAAATAACGTTTTTCTCTTTCCTGAAATTGAAGAAAGAAGAACCCAGCAGTACAGCTCCTCCAACGGATTCTTCACTCAGCCTCGCACCAATCCTTGATTTCAGGGATCCCCTAAATGGCGTGTTTATAATTCTTGTTGTGTAATCTGGTATTGTGTATGTATTGTAAGTCTACACTCTTGGGTATATATTCTGGTATCCTTCACCTCTGTAAATTTTAATTTTTCATTCATTTTAATTGATTGAGTTGAGCTTCATCTTCTTCAATACTCAATTTTCTGTATTTTATCTAAACTGACATCGCACCATGCAAAAAGATGGATGTCCGAATCTTAAAGAAGTCACCCGTCGCTCGAGTCTTGTAATCAGAATAATTGTGTAGGTATCAGAGCAATTTTATACAGGATTTCAGAAGAGATAAGCCTGGCAAATCTTGCTTGTTTACCTAGATCATTTTCGGGCTGAATTTGAATTTTCTAACTTTGAGTTAAATAAGAAATCAAAATTTGAGTTGATAGATAGCCTAAGGTGCAAGCCAAACTAGGCATGATTAACTGAAATTTTGTCTTGGAAAAGTAACCTAAAATAAAGTTTTTTTTATACTTCTAACACTGTCAAATATCCAATGCAGGTGTGCCAATGACAAACCATTTGTGCCAAAATACCAGCTCTCAAAAGAGAAGGCAAAAGCTTTGGCATCGAATTCACCTTTCTTAAAGAAAGCATCAAGGAAACTGTTTATAGCTTGAAGCAGCAGAACTTTTTTGGAGGTTCGTCAGTGAATGTCTTGAGTTCTCTTGCACTCGATCTTTTTGTTGTATGAGCACCTTTTAAGTATAATACTAAGATATTTGTGTCCATCTTTAATTTTACTTTCTGTAATAGCCTCAATGGAATGACATTTTATTTCTGAATAATATTATGTATACACATAAATTGCCTGTTTCCTTTATGCGGGCAGAGAATAAGATTTCCAAGTGGTAGGTTGAATATCCCTCTTTATTTTGTTCATATGTATAAGCAAAATAACTGGAAATTATCTCATCAATACCGAAGTTGTCCCATTAGAATTTTTTGGGATTCCTACACATTTAATTGGGTCTAAAGAGGCTTCTATTCATAACTGACATGATCCGGTTGACCGGATGTATCTTGTCAAAAGGACGGGTGGGTCAAAACTAGAATGACTTGTGGTAGTTGCTAAACATGTATGTGTTGTCATCAACGTGCTTTTGCACTCAAGGCAACTTTGAAAATGTACAGCTCCCATAGTGTAACAGGGTGTTTTTTACAAGATCCATTAATATATTATTGTCATTTAGCCAATTGGCACTACTAGCAAATCCGGCTTCATGCATGTGAGTTGCAGCCTGCAATCCAAGCTGATGATGTGTTTTTTGGATTACCTCGCCCTTGAAGGATCATAACCATTGTCTCGGGTATTCTAGTATGTGTCACCACTCACCCAAGTCATAACATAGGTAGCATAAGGCCACTATCAAAAGAAAGCATTTAACAGAATAGGGAAAAGCGATAGGTTAGGATCTATAATAGTCTATGGGAACCAGGGCACATTATTCATCATTTTTAGAAGATTTTACTCTGCTGCACAAGCTTGATGCATCAAAAACGAGCGATTTTCTTGTCTAAATAATGTGACAAAAAAAAAAAGGAATGAAAACAAGCAAATGAAAAGAAAATGTGCCTTCAGCCATATTCTAGCAATTACTCTCCCCTTTGGATGCCCCGGTATTCCTCTCCCTGTTGGATCATCTTCTAAAGCTTTCTTTCATTCTGCAATTCTCAGGGCTTTGCAAAGGGAAAATTGCTTTGCTATATTGCCTCACCAATGGTGAAATATTGCCAATATCCCGCAATGGCGACTGCTTAGGTGCCACATGTACATTTGCGTGTGTTTGTGCTTTTCTTCTTCCATCAAGCTCCTCTTTGCTGCCTTTGTTATTTGCACAACGATTTTCCCTCAACTGACGAAGAAGCATGCGCTTCTCCCTTGCAAGTTGTTTGCCCAAAGAAATCTGAGGGAAATCCTTGGTTATCATTAACTCATCTTTTCGTTCTACATTAGACTCTTCCTTGGAATTCTTCCTCATACAACCGTTATCCTCCATACGATGGTTTTTCTTCACGGAACAAACTGGCAGGAGATTTTCCTTTTCATCTGGAACTGATATTATCTCCTTATTTTCTCTTGAGTTTGGTTCTGTTTTTGACTCCCGAAGCTCTTCCTTAAGTGCAGATATTTCAGTTTGTAGTCCGTTGGCCTTGTATTCAAAACTGAGAGCTTTTTCTCTCCAGTCTTCCACCTAAACAAAGAAAACATGAAAGCTATATCACCAACAAAAGCTATCAGAACAAATACAATTATGAAACATTTGGTGATGTGAACTAAATAGTACTAGACAATACTAGAGAGGAAAAGGACTTAAAAATCATATTCATTGTGCTACTCGAACATAAGTAATAAATTGAGGGGCTCTTACGGTTTGTTTTAGGGATTGAATTTCATATTCTGAATTGTTAGCTCGATTTTCCCAGCAATCACGTGATGCCTGCAGTTCTTCCATTTCTCCCCTCACCTTCCTCAACATTTCTTGCATTTGGGACCATTGCTCCGTCTCGGCTCTCACCTGGTCTACAATCTTCCGCACAATGGCCTTGCAACGTCCAGAGCATTTGTTCTCGTGTAACATTGATTCCTGTTGGAGAAGGATTTTCTTTTAGGAATACATTTGATGAAAAGGGTGCTCTTATGAAATTTAACAATGACTCGGCTTGTTAGAGAAACATGTTTTGTTCATCCTGTCCCAGTCAGTTTATTTCAATTTTTCATGATAATCGTCAACATTTCAGAAGCAACTAATGAATCCACCTAATCATTCAGATTGAGGGAAAAAAAATTTCTTTCTGAAATGGTATATCCTGCATTCCATAAACCAATACAAGAATAAAAGTAAACAAACAAATATGGACAATGTTGGAATTGCCTGATATTGAACAGTTTATTTGCTAAAATTTTGGATTTTCTTGACCAGAAGAATTAAATTCTGTCAGTAACTGGGCTTAAATTTAAATTCTGAGGTCATCTCATCCAACATAAAAAACAGAAGAAAACTGAAACAGAAAATGGAATTGATAAGAGTGGTCCAGGACTATGTTCTGGCATTTTAAGTCAGGCTTTGAGTTATTGGGAAGCGTAATGCCGGACGCACATTAAACTCTGAGCACATTTTATGCGACTGAGCAGCATAACAATAAAGATTTTAACTTAATTTTCTTCCTTCAAAACGTCAAGTTTTGTAGCATAGAAGACATTGGATCTTTACCTGATCAGGACCCTGATCGACTCTTTTGGAAGTGGAAGTGGAAGCAGAACTGGCAACAGAACTATTGGCAGTACTAGAAAGAAGTGATCCAAAATCTTCCTCATCACCATCTTTTGACAGTCCCTCCATATTTCTTCTCAGCTCATCCCCCTGCACATGCTTTTTGATTTATAACCAAAAACAAATAAATAGCCCAATTTTCCTTGAATAAAAAATAAAAAAATATATATATATAGCTATGTTTTTCCCTTTACTTTCGAAAACTCCCAATAGCATCATTTACTGTATCTAGAAATGAACAAAGTGGAACTGTAAAGAAGGATTCTTGTAGTCCAAATTTACTAGGAATAAGACTAGCCTTGTTGTTTTCAGAGACGTGATATATCATTTAAATAACAACTACAATAAAATCGGTTAAGAGCTTCATGAATGCAAATTTACTGAAAAAGGATAAACAAAATGCCATGAGATCAACTCTCTTAATATCCATTTTTCCACATAAATTTAAACATCATTCATCAAATGGCAATGGAAATAAATAGAGAACTTGATCTTACATTGGTGGACTTATTTTTGCTTATCTGACTTAAAGCAGAGCTCTCTTGAACTATATTGTGACATGTAGTGATGGAGGAGCTTGTTTCAGTTAGTTCCTGCGACTCCTTCGCAGAATTATCATCCAATAACCCTCCAAGCTTCTCTAACCGGCGCTGTAATACACACGCTTTCTTATCGAAATTACTACAATTTCGAAACTCACGGCCTTTAGCTGTGAAACTCTTTGTTAACTCCTCTAGCTTTTCTGCTAAATCTTCAATCTCTTCCTCCAACACTGCACTCACACTCTTCCCTTCAAAAATCTTATTTCTTCCCTAAAAATTAACATGGAATCAGAAATAAGTCCAATAACTATTAGAATCTGATTGATTTGAGTGATATATGTAAGGAAAATTAAATACATGCAGTCTTATATCAATGCGTACTAATAATCTGTTTTAAATAAGTTCAAATTTATCGAAAAATCTCATATAGACTCTCATGTAGCTTCTTGAAAGAAAAGAAAAGAAAAATAGAGCCAAAAACGAAGGAAAAGCAATGAAAGAAACTACACTAGGACACGAGAGGACAGTGTCGCTGAGTCTCGTCTAGTACTGTTCATCAAACACGATGGAAACCATTAAAAATGAAGGGGAAAAAATTGAGAAGCAAAGAAAAAAGAAACTAACAGAAACAAGGGTTTGAACAGCTGATCTGAGAGTCCTCTCCATTTTAACTCTGTTCCTTTCCAATTTCTTCAAAGCAAATTCTCTTTCCATTCTAAGAAAATTACACTCAGCCCTTAAAATTTCTGCTTGAAACCTCCATTTCTCCTCCTCAAACCCACCACCTCCTCCACACTCTTCTTTTTCTTCAACTCTCTCTCTTCTTTCACCGCCCGATGATGACATTGAGTTTAAGTTTGAGTTCAACAACACTATGGGGGGCTCAAAACCATTTTCTTGATCGAACAGGGATTCAAGCTTTCCTTTGTAAGTGTAATACTTTTGGTGCAAACCAAATGGGTAGTTTTTGGTGGTGGTTTTGTGCTGTTTCCGGCGGGTTCTGCGGCTGTGAGGGAGGTTGAGGATTTTGGGGCTCGGTGGTGGCGGTGGTGTTGGGTGCCACTTGGTACTTCTCGTGATCGTTATTGTTGACATTCTCTCTCTCCTTCCTCCCTCCCTCTCACTATCTCTCTCTGTATTTATCTCTGTGCGTTGTACGTTGGTCGTGAGTGGGAGATGCTTTTTGGAGTTTCTGCGGAATTTGAATTTAACGGTTGAAATTTATATTTCTATACGTGAACAAAAAGTCAATTATATGTTACATATATATATAATTAAATGGCTCTTAAAGTAGAAAATAATATAATTTTATCATTACTTTTAAAGATGAAAAAAATAAAAAATAAAAACACCCTTCATGCCTTCCACCAGCCCCTTTATATATATCGTCTGCTCTGTTTTGTTTATTTATTTTAAATTGTTTCATTGCCTTTAAATTTATCTTTATCGATTGAAATTTATTTTTATTTTTCTCTTTTTTAATGCAGCCAAATACATATTTGATTCAATCGTGTTACGAAGGCGTGCAACCTCGTAACATGAAAACATCAAGATTTTGAAATTGGCAAGTGAAGTGTACCGTTGTTTGGGCTCCATTTTTTAAAATATATTTTTTTCTTTCTTATTTTTAATTATACATTTTTCAATAAAATAATATTATACAAAATTTAAAATTTTTCTTTATTTTTTCAACCACACATTTTTCAAAATATTACTATGCATGGGTAATTCTTGTCGAAGTCTAAATAATAATCAAATTTTAAGACCTAACAAAGCGTTACCAACCTAGAAGCACATTGAGCTATTAATAGGAACACGCTCTACCAACGAACTAACAACTTTTTGTACGAGCCTCCCTCTGAAAACCCGTTATGTCAAAAGCAAAAGAAATCCCACCCCTTTTCATGTTTTCACCACACATCGTCGCATGGGGGCACGAATAGGTAAAAAAGGATTTAAGAAAAAGTTCGTTTAAATATAATTCTTAACGGGCTTCTTCACATACAAATTATATCTTTCTTTTTTCTTTTTTAAATAAGTGATCTCTCACGTTCATAATGTTTTATTACAAAACAATGACAAGATGTTAAAAGAGCCTATATGCACGAAGTGGAACCAGTCGAATAGTTATTCGCTATCTCGCTACCTAACCAGGTCTCATTTCAATTTCTAATCTACGCTAACAAACATTTTGTACATCTAAAATTTAAACAGTCAATTTAACCACAAATGTTTTTATAATCTTATTTTCCACAAGGATATATTGACAAGGAAAAAAAACATATTTTTTTAAAAAAAATTGGTTGAATTTGCAGCTTTTTTATGGAGTTGACGGTGGCAAATTAATTATAAGCAGACCTTGTCACCTTGATGCTTCGTGAAGGTTTATTATTAGAAAAACAAAAGTATACGAAGTACAAGGAGGACAGACAGAGAGGGGGAAAAACACAGAGTACGAGATATATATTTGAGTTTCAATTCAAATTATATAATAAATACTAATAATAAATTACAATTTGTGCATGCCGTTTAAGGTGCGTTTGTCGCTTCTCATTTGGTAATTTGAAACCGGCAAAGCTTATTCCTCGTCAGCCTTATTTACTCCCACAGTATGCTGTCTCGTTATTAATTGTCGTGCCACTTATAAGATATATACATGTGTTTACACAAATTTATTTATTTATTCAAAATATTGTACAGTCTCGTAGACGAGTAGTAACAACTTGATCTTTAATATATCAAAAATGCTACTTGTACATTAAGAATTGTACATTAAGGTGTACATCACACTCACATGAGGATGTGACCCACTTGTATAAAATATTTTTTTATTCAAACAGGTCTCACCCCCATGTGAGTGTGATGTACACGCCGATGTACAACTTGATGTACCAGTAGTAAAACCGTTAATATATATATTTTTTATAAATGCATAACGTGTGAAATTTTTACCGATAAGAAATGATGAAATGTAAATTCGTAATCGGGTTTTGCCGCATGTACACAACAATTTATATAATATTTTACTAGACGAGATTTAATTGAATCAAAATTTCATCGATCAAATAACTTCCACATTTACATTTTGACACATCATCATATGTAAAATAGTTATGTACAATAAGCATTTTTCATAATATTAATTTTTTATCACATTAATTATTTCAAGAAATAATAAATTAATGTAATTCAGTGAACACCTTCAATTTCCTAGGTAACTTGTTCTTGAAATCCTAACTTAATATGTTAATGACCGTTTCAAGAATTTGTATTCTTACAAACTCAAAATTTCAAATTTTAAGGTCGTTGTTTAGTATATAATACTGAATAATATAATGTTCGAATATCCGTCGCCTCCTATTCTTTATCGTACTAACACGGTCACACTTCATTTTATAGACGTGTAAAAGAGATAGGACGATGAGCATGCTTGGTTAAATTTTAAAAATAAAAATGAAAAATTCGTACTTTTAAATTTAGAAGTAACTTACGTGTTTACTTAAAAGTAAACTTTAAAGGGTATTCAATCATGCAAAGAAAGAATTGTTATGATTTTACATGTACACCTAATCCTGGATGCTTGCACTCAAAGGCTAGCAACTATTTTAAATTTCGAATCCTCTTTATTAAGAATTTAAATTTTATAATAATTACATAATTTAAATTAAGGCATTTTATGCTTATAAAATAAATTAAATCAGGCATTTTACTTAGTTTAACGTATGCTTATAAAATAAATATCCAACGGCAAAAATTTGTCAGTAAATTGAAGAGGCTTGATATGTCAATAACTATATTTGTCTCATGTACTGGACTGTATGAAATGTCTTTACATTTAACTTACAAAATAATGTGAATATGCACCAACTAATTCTGGAAGCTTGCTTTCAAAAGCTAGCAATTATGCAAAAAGAAACTTACATAAAGCTATCAATCTGCGTTATTTGTTCTTCTTTTCATCGCGAATTAATGTTAGATAGCCAAATGCTATAACCTAATTTCGTGTCACATCCTGAAGATATCTGTTGAGTCTCGTGGTTCAAATCTTTCAAATTGCTGCATATTATATCCAAACCTTTAATTTTTATATCCACGATTAAAATCTTTCACCTCGATTACAGTTGGAGGACATATGGACATATGTTGGTGGCTGTCGAAAAGGGTGGGTTTTGATTTGGTTGAGGTGGGTGGTGGGAGTGGGGGGTGAATAGTTAAAAACTTAAAATCAGTTTTTCTTTTCTTTACTTTTTGTTTAATATTTTTATTATTTTATTGAAGAAATATAAAATGACAATTTTGCATGTTTATATTTGGTCAAAATGTGGTCAAATTGATTTATTTATTTTTTGGATTGACTAACGGTCATTTGTCCTTTAGCTGCAATCGAGATGAAAGGGTTGAGACCGTGTGTGCAAATATAAAATGTTTGGGTACAGTATACAACTAATTGAAAATTTTGAGGCCCAACTGAAATTTTCCCTTTCTTTTATCAAAGAGTGGCAAAATGGACTAGCATATTCCTAGCAAGGGAAAGGATAGCACTTCGGCACCATAGTTTCACGAGTCATGCTACATTGACAGGGAATTTTACCGGACATTTTTCCAGGCATACACTTGACAAACTATGATTGACGGTTGGTCAAAAAACAATTTTAACTGTCAATTACAATCTATCATCTCACCCTAGTTACAATTCCCAGACAATATCCCATGTATACGGGGCTTTATCCTAGTTTCACTAGCTAATTCTTAGGCTATTTCAAAATTCTTTTCAATTCATAGACTGAATCGTAATATGGACATAATTTGCTCTATCATTCCGTCACCCAAGAATGTTATGACTTTCACCAACACGTAGTCTTCGGTTCACAAGGCTTTTCATACCCATAGTATCCAATTTTACATTGTTCCATCTACTTTGCAAATTTTGAAAACGATTTCAAAAACTAAATAGTCTTTGTACTCTCCACAATGATCACGTCTCCCACCGTAATAGATCATAACACTAACAAAAAGTCATCGATGCAACACATGATATTTACACGCAACACAAAGGATACATACTGAATGTTGGGGTTAGAGGTAAATTATATAGCAGCACATTGAATTCAAGTATGTTACATAAGTAACATTAGCAGCACTTCTTAAAATTTTGAACAAAAATCAATTTGATTTTCTTTAAGTCGTGTTTGTTAACAATAAGCAGCAACCATGAGAATAAGAATCAAGTCACATACATTTTCATTTCTAACAATTGGCAAATCAACATCATATACAAATGATAAAAATTCGATGTTATAAGAACAACTACTTTTTGAGTCATATATCATCTAAAAAGAGGTTCGTATACCTAAAAATACCCTTGGGAAAAGCTGAAATTTATACGATTAGTTGCAATTTTCTACAATTAGGTATGCATATAGTTCAAAAAATGGGCAGTATTGTATGCGATACTCAAACCTAAAAATATGAGAGGCTAGTGATATTTGGACACAAACAAACAACCAATCATAATATTGTTGTTTCTTAGTGTAGATTTAAAATTGATAACGGGGCATGGCCAAGCGATAAGGTAGTAGGTGTTGGTCCCACTAATTGGAGGTTCGAATCCTTTCGTCCCAGAGCCATATCCATTTTTTAAGAATAAAGATTGTTTTCTC